TAACTACTGATGAATTAATATCTTAAGTACCTCAGTGTTATGCAAATTAGCACTTCCTCAACAGTGGGCGCTTGCAGAGATAAATATTTTCGTCTCCGGGTAATATTGTTTTCACTATTGTACATGACTCAATATGTGCGATTCACTCGGTACGATTATGTATGTGCGATTCGACAAGTGTGATTCTGTTAATGTGATATATGCGAGGTGATGTTTGCTTCTTGTATATGTGATTCAATTCAGTATCTTATTTTTTCAAGAGAGTGTAGGATCATTGTTTATAAAGTTAATTACCGTACATATGTAACTGTTCAGGTGTGTTGGGGAAATAGTGACACACACACACACACACGATCACACACACACACACACACACACACACACACACAGTCACACACACAGTCACACAAATAGTATGGTGTCAACTGTTGAACCTCAGATGTGACCCTAAAAGAGATCATAAATTATACCACAGAACTGTAACTAACTAACTCGTTTCTGTGGTTGCAGTCACCCAACCCCGGAAATGACGTGAGGGGGGTAGGGTGGGGGGAGGGGCGAGAGGCCAGCTGGGGGGTTAGGGTGAGTGGGTAGAACAAGCCCTCGGGGTAGGTGGGGGTCAGAAGAAGCCCTCGGGGTAGGGGGTCAGAAGAAGCCTCAGGGTAGGTGGGGGTCAGAAGAAGCCCTCAGGGTAGGTGGGGCTGGCAGAGAGGCCCTCGGGGTAGGTAGGGGTCAGAAGAGGCCCCGGGGTAGGTGGGGGTCAGAAGAAGCCCTCGGGGCAGGTGGGGGTCAGAAGAAGCCCTGCAGGTGGGGTCAGAAAGCCCTCGGGTAGGTGGGGGTCAGAAGAAGCCCCGGGCAGGTGTGGGGTCAGAAGAAGCCCTCGCAGGTGGGGGGTCAGGAAGAAGCCCTCGGGGTAGGTGGGGGGGTCAGAAGGCCCTCGGGGTAGGTGGGGTCAGAAGAAGCCCCGGGGTAGGTAGGGACAGAAGAGGCCCCTGCAGGTAGGGGTTAGAAGAAGCCCGGGGTAGGTTGGGTCGAAGCGCCCCGGGGTAGGTTGGGGTCAGAAGAAGCCCTCGGGGTAGGTGGGGGTCAGAAGAAGCCCTCAGTAGGTGGGGGTCAGAAGAAGCCCTCGGGGGTAGGTGGGGGTCAGCGAAGCCTCGGGTAGGTTGGGGTCAGAAAGCTCGGGGAAGGTAGGGGTCAGAAGAAGCCCTCGCAGGTGGGGGTCAGAAGAGCCCTGGGTAGGTGGGGTTAGAAGAAGCCCGGGGTAGGTTGGCAGAAAGCCCTCGAGGGTTGGGGTCAGAAGAAGCCCCTGGGGAAGGTAGGGTCAGAAGAAGCCCTCGGTAGGTGGGGGACAGAAGAAGCCCTGCAGGTAGGGTTAGAAGAAGCCTCGGGGTAGGTTGGGGTCAGAAGAAGCCCTCAGGGTAGGTGGGGGTCAGAAGAAGCCCTCGGGGTAGGGTAGGGCAGAAGAAGCCCTCGGGGTAGGTGGGGGTCAGGAAGAAGTCCCCGGGGTAGGTGGGGGCATAGGAAGTCCCTCGGGGTAGGTGGTGGCCAGAAGAGGCCTCGGGCAGGTGGGGGGGTCAGAAGAAGCCCTGGGGTAGGTGGGGTCAGAAGAAGTCCCGGGGGTAGGTAGGGTACAGAAGAAGCCCCGGGGTAGGTGTGGGGTCAGAAGAAGTCCCCGGGCAGGTGGGGTCAGAAGAAGTCCCTCGGGGCAGGTAGGGGACAGAAGAAGCCCCGGGGTAGGTGGGGGTCAGAAGAAGCCCCCGGGGTAGGTGGGGGTCAGAAGAAGCTCCCTGCAGGTGGGGGTCAGGAACAGAAGCCCTCGGGGTAGGTACAGAAGAGGCCCTGGGGTAGGTGGGGTCAGGTCCTCGGGGTAGGGTGGGGGTCAGAGAAGTCCTCAGGGTAGGTAGGGAACAGAAGAGGCCCCGGGGTAGGTGGGGGCCGAAGAAGTCCCGGGCAGGTGGGGGTCGGGAAGAAGCCCCGGGGTAGGTAGGGCACAGAAGAGCCCCAGGGTAGGTGGGGGGTCAGAAGAAGTCCCTCGGGGGTAGGTGGGTCAGAAGAAGTCCTCGGGGTAGGTAGGGACAGAAGAGGCCCTCAGGGGTAGGTGGGGGCCAGAAGAAGTCCCTCAGGGTAGGTGGGGGTCAGAAGAAGCCCTCGGGGTAGGTGGGGTCAGAAGAGTCCCTCGGGGAGGTGAACAGAAGAAGCCCTCGGGGTAGGTGGGGGGTCAGAAAGGCTCCCCGGGGTGGGGGTCAGAAGAAGCCTCGGGTAGGTGGGGCCGAAGAAGTCCTCGGGGTAGGTAGGGGGTGGAGAAGAGCCCGGGGCAGGTGGGGGTCAGAAGAAGCCCGGGGTAGGTGGGGGGAAGAAGCCCTCGGGGGTGAGGTGGGGTCAGGAAGAAGCCCTCGGGGTAGGTGGGGGCCAAAAAGCTCCTCGTAGGTGGGGGTGTGAAGAAGCCCTCAGTGGGGGTCAGAAGAAGTCCTCGGGGTAGGTGGGGCCGAACAGCCCCAGG